AGATGTGTATAAGAGACAACAAATGCACTGACCCCTATAGGAACTTTTAATCACTAACAAAAACAAATAGAATTCTCTTTTACAAACATTTTTACCCCCCTCCTTCAGAATTTCCTGTAGCCAGAGAGAGGAGGAAGTAGCATAGCCAAAAAGACGAATGGCCCAAGAAAAAGGGAATTAATTTCAAGAGTAGTACGCGTACTACACGTTGTACGTGTACTACGCGTAGTACGCGTACTACACGTAGTACACGTAGTACGTGTACTACACGTACTACGCGTAGTACACGTACTACACGTAGTACGCGTAGTACGTGTACTACACGTACTACGTGTAGTACGTGTACCACGCGTACTTCGTGTAGTACGCATAGTACGTGTACTACGGGTGGTATTTTGACACGGTTGTACTAATCGCGGTAAAACTGTGTCAAAATACCATGTACAAATCACTAATTTAATGTTTACTTGCTTTGTTTTATATACATTTTACAATTCTTTTTCGTAATTTACAGTTTACTTTTGTGGAGTGGATTTTCTTCATTTCGATAATTTATTTTTGCCATTTGTTAGGTATAGATTACTTTTATTTTACTAAATTGTTGACTCTCTATCTACATTATTTAATTTGTGTGTTTAACTTTTGCTTTCTGATTATGTACCGTACTGTGTAGGCCTAATCTATGTTAATTGTAAGTAAGGTACGGTATCTCACGACCACAATGAAAAACAGCATTGTATTTGTTGATTTGTGCTTCGTGAATAAATAAAGTTTTACTACTGCATTGGTGCTCTAGTTGTCATCGTTGGTGTTATGGTGGAACTGAAATCAAAACTGAACGTCTGTGTTCGTAGCTGTCGTCGTCGTCATCATCATCATTTTCGTTAGCTGAATCAATGTCATTAAAGAATTGAGATAAATCATCATCATAATTCTTATTAGCAGAATCAATTAATGGAAACATTAAAACAATAAACAGAAATATATACATTACAGATCAAGCCTGGGTTTATTCAATAATCATCGTTTTATTATTTGGGTGGGCATAAAAGTATTTTTAATGTATTTGTTTCTTAAACATTTCAACATACAGCAGGGGCTGATCAAGAATTTTTCAAATTTGAAAATTCAGTGAAAATTTGGTTGAAATCGGCTCAGTAACAAAGGAGAACATCCCGGACACACAAACCCCAATTTGCCTTTTATAGATTATAGCCTTCATATAGATGCACCACTCCTATGTGTTCCATCGATGTAATGGTGTAATTTTCCAAAATAAATAATTATAAACAATGTTAGATGCAGTTCAGTAGATATTAGACGTTATACGTACAGTAAATTGGTGGCGCTATACAACAAATTGGTTTACGATGGTCATGATGCTAACACGTGGTGTTTTGACATAATTTTACCGCGAGTGGTACAACTGTGTCATAATTACTATACGTGTAGTACGCGTAGTACGTGTACTACGCGTACTACTTGTAGTACGCGTACTACGCGTAGTAATTATGACACAGTTGAACCGCCATACGTTAGGCGGCATGCGATTTTTTCCCGTACGAAATATTTGCATGGAACTTCACTCGGGCCATCTCGGATTGACTCGACTAAGTTCGATACCAGGAACAAGAGCAGACACTTCGCAGTGTCGTGACACTCGAGTTTTACTATTATTGCTCTTTCTATGTTTACCTACAGTAGGCCTATGATATCTTATGGATTTATGGGATGTACGTGTGTAACTAACGGTGACCTTCTTGGATGTTTATTAGTATATTATCTACAACAACAACAGCTAGTACCCCCTTTTTTCGGCTATATCGACGGAATTTTCCTGTCCGGATAGGCCGATTTTAAAGTAATTTCAACCACACAAGTCGAAGTTCCAAATTTAGTAGCGCACGTGGGAAAAATACACAGTTCATACAAAGTTCAATCCTTGTTGTACGGCAACAAGTTAGCCATGTCAAACTAACATCTCAGACAGCGCGCTGTGGAACTTGGCTCTCACATGATCGTATGTCGTAAGTTGCAGTCTACTCTCACAAAAAATTATCGAATGAATTCTGTGATGACTTAAATTTAAAAATTGTATTTTCCTTTTCCCATCCCAGTTGGTCTCCGTTCGCGTGTCGTTTACAAATTTGTATGTGCAGGCTGTAATGCTTGTTACGTTGGCGAAACAAGTCGACATTTCTCTACACGCATGCGTGAGCACCTAACACGGATGGAAACTCGCATATATTAAAGCATCTGAAAAGTTCACGTCACTGTAAACAATCAGCCAATGAGGACTGTTTCACAATACTGGACTCCGCCTCTACAACCCAAATTCTAAAAATCAAAGAAGCCTTGCATATTCAGTGGGAGCAACCCTCACTGAACAAACAGCTTCTTCATGTTAATTTATCTTCGTCATTCTAAATTAATTCCATTCTCCCCTTAGTGGCATTTAAAATACTGCACTCTGATCTTATCTTATCTTTATTTATATTTTGCTTTGTAGTACTGTTACGGTTCATTCCACAAATTTTTTAGCTTGGATACATTGATTTTTTACTCCCCTATATCATAGAGAAAATAGAACAGATCTATCTGTTCTATTTTCTCTATGCCTATATCAATGATTGCCTGCGTGCAATAGATAACTGACGATGGTAATGGACTGCCGAAACATGTCTTTTTGGGGCCGTTAAGGCCATAACTTATTGGATTAAATACAGGCTTTGCCTATGATGAAGATACGATCTGTTGTGTTGTTTTTGAAAAATA